TATATATATATATAATATATATATATATATACAGTATACACACACACACACACACACATACATGTGATTCGCACTCCCGTGGTTTTCTCGCCCCTCCCAGATAGCATCAGATTGCCCTTCAGTACACCAGTCATCACATTTAACCCCTTGATTGCCAGGAAGACGCTCATACACAATAAACCTCCATTGCTAGTATAGTGTCTGAACGGATCAATATCTTTGATCAGATCAGCACTATACAAGCGTTCACATTAGTATAGCGTCCCCAAAAATGCAGCGTTAGCGGGATCAGCCCCGGCACCTGCCAACACCTGCGTTTAGCCCCTACGCTTACTCCCCCTTCTCCCCCAGCAAGTGCAGGGTCAGTAGGTCACTGTCACTTAATACATTGCACACAAAACCGCAGTTTTCTCAGAATCAGGCCTGATCTCTGTTAGCACTTGTCGGCAAATTTTGATGACTCTCATATGCAGCAGAGTGCCAGTACTAGTGCCACGCTACCTTTTGGTGAACTGGCGAGTACCAGCGGTCTAGTATATCCTGGTCTTTCACATATCTCTTAGATTGTAAGCTGCCAGGACCAGGGCCCTCCTAACCCTCTTGTATTGAACTGTATTGTTCTGTATTGTCTCCCGTTATATTGTAGCGCTGACCAAACTGTTGGTGCCATAAATCCTGTATAATAATAATAATACCAGCATTGCAGTATGACTTGGTGACGTGGTGAGTCCCATAAGTACAGTACAAGCCGATGCGGTTGCGAGCACAAGTATTGTCCCACAGCCACCAAGATATGAGAGTATAATAAACTTTACCCTCTACAAATCCGCTCTTCTCAAATACAACTCCGGCCTCCACGCTGCTAATCAAACCTATTATAACACTCTTAAGACCCTCTCACCCAATCCTTGTCAACTCTTCTCTACCCTTAATTCCTTACTCCATCCCCCACTGCCTCCACCCAACTTACTTACTGCACAGGAGATTGCCAGTCACTTCAAAAAGATTGACACAATTCGTGATGAGATCTCCAGTGTCAAGCTTCCTCCTCTAACCAACATACCAGGCCCAACACCAAACTCTATACTCTCCTCCTTCAACCCTGTTACCATCAAGGAAGTTACCAAACTCCTTTCCAAAGCCCACTTCACCACCTGTCCCCTGGATCCTGTCCCCTCCCGACTACAACTGTTGCAGCCTCCTTCCTGCACTATCCTAAACTCTCTAATCCGCATCTTCAACCTCTCACTCTCCATGGGCACCTTTCCCTCCCCACTCAAACATGCACTGGTTACCCCCATTCTCAAAAAACCCCTCGCTGGACCCCACCTGTTTGAATAACTTAAGACCCATCTCCCTGCTCCTGTTTGCCTCCAAGCTTCTCGAGCGCTTTGTTCACAACCGTATGAACTGCTACCTCACCGACAACAACCTTCTTGATCCCCGACAGTCTGGCTTCCGCCAACAACATTCCACAGAAACTGCCCAACTAAAACTCACTAATGACCTACTAACTGCTAAAACCAACGGCCATTACTCCATACTCATACTCCTTGACCTTTCTGATGCCTTTGACACAGTCAACCACCCGCTCCTCCTCCGTAAACTCCACTCCATCGGCCTCCATGACTCTGCCCTCTCCTGGTTCTCCTCTTACCTTTCTCAGTGCACTTTCATTGTCACATACAACTGCTCCTCCTCCGCTTTCTCCTTCTGTTGAAGTACCCCAAGGTTCTGCTCTTGGACCCTCCTTTTCGCTTTCTACACCTCCTCCCTGGGCCAACTGATAACCTCCAATACCACCTCTATGCTGATGACACCCAGATCTATCTCTCCACTCCCCAGCTCACCCCTTATATTGTAACGCGCTGCGCAAACTTGTTGCCACAAGTTTTTGAAAAAAGAGAAAAAAAAAACGAAAACATTTTTTTCTATTCTTTTTTTATATTTCAAAACCTTGTGAGAAAAAAAAAAGATCTGCAAAATACTCACCATGCCTCTTTAAATTCCTTGGGGTGTCTACTTTCCAGAAAGGGGTCATTTGGTGGTGGGGGGGAGGGGTTTGGTGCTATCCTGGCATGTCAGGGCCTTCAAATCTGTGATAAGTAGTGAGGAAGATACGCACCTTCTGGCTTTCAAAGTGTTCATTAGATTTCAGGCTCCTGTATGTGGCTAGGCTCCCAAAAAGTCTCACACATGTGGTATCCCCATACTCGGTAGAAGTAGCAGAATGTGTTTTGGGGTGTAATTCCACATATGCCTATGGCTTGTGCGAGAAATAAATCATTTAATTGACAACTTTGTGTAAAAAAAAAAATTTTTTTGTCATTTTCCAGAAACTTGTGGAAAAAAAATAAATCTTCCATGGACTCAATATGCCTCTCAGCAGATAGCTTAGGGTGTTTACTTTCCAAAAAGGTGTCATTTGAAGGTGTTTATACTATCCTGGTATTTTAGCACCTCAAGAAATGTTATGAGCAGTCAGAAAGTAAAAGCTGTGTAAATTCCATTATCTATACCATAGTTTGTAGACGCTATAAACTTTCACATAAAGCAATCAATATACACTTATTGGGATTTTTTTTAACCAAAAACATGGAGCAGAATACATTTTGGCCTAAATTTATAACAAAATTTTAGTTTTTTGGGATATTTCTTATGACCGAAAATGAGAAAAGTTTTTTCTGTTTATAGCGCCAAAAATAAAAAGTGCACAGGTGATCAAATACCACCAAAAGAAAGCTCTATTTGTGTGAAAAAAGGACAATAAATTATGTACCGTATTGTATGACCGTGCAATTGTCCATTAAACTAACGCAGCGCAGTATAGCAAATAAAATGGCGTAAATTGCAGTATCTATACCATAGTTTGTAGATGCTATAACTTTCACACAAAGCAATATACACTTATTGGGATTTTTTTTACCAAAAACATGGAGCAGAATACATTTTGGCCTAAATTTATAACTAACTTTGAGTTTTACTATATATGTTTTATAGCTGAAAGTAAAAAATATTGTTTTTCTTCAAAATGTTCGGTCTTTTTTTGTTTATAGCGTGAAAAATAAAAAGCGCACAGGTGATCAAATACCACCGAAAGAAAGCTCTATTTGTGTGAAAAAAAGGACGTAAATTTTGTTCAGGTACAGCATTGCATGACCGCGCAATTATCAGTTGAATTAGTGCAGCGCCGAGTAGCAAAAAGAAGCCTGGTCAGGAAGGGGGGTAAATGCTCAGGAGCTCAAGTGGTTAAAAAAAGAACATATATATACTCACAAATCAAAGAAAATAAAAAACAGGACAGGTGGTCCGCAATGCAGTCCAATTCAATACTGTGCCTTACATAGGGATAGGCTGACACGTTTCGGGAGATGAACCCCCTTCTTCAGAGCTGAAGTGTATACCTGCTGATCCAACATTACGTATTTTCCGCTCCATAAGACGCACTTTTTTTCCCCCCAAAAAAGGGGGGAAAATGTCAGTGAGTCTTATGGAGCGAATATGGAGTGGCCGGTCCGGTATTTCCGCCGCCACCCCCGAGGGCCGGCTGCTCAGCTCTCCTCTGCAGCAGGACCTTACCTGTTCCTTGGTCCAGCGCTGTGCAGTCTTCCCGCGCTGGAAACTTTAGTGTGAGCTCCCGGCTGTAACAGCCAGGTGCCCACTGCGCATGCATGAGAAGCACTGTGCTTTGTGAATGGTCCAGCGTCTTCTGGGACACGTGACAGGTCCCAGAAGACGGCGGGCCATTCACAAAGCGCAGCGCTTCTCGAGCACGCGCAGTGGGAACCCGGCACAGTTGGGTGCCTGCACTAAAGAGAGGGCAACTCTGCGGAAGTGGGAGTGGGGTACCTGTCAAATTCAGGTACCCGCTCCCCCTCCCACCCCAAAGGTCCGCAGTCTCTTGGTCACCCCTGTACTGTGTCCGCAGTCTCCGGTAATCCCCTGTACTGTGTCCGCAGTCTCCGGTCATCTCCTGTACTGTGTCTATAGTCTCTGGTCATCTCCTACACTATGTCCGCAGTCTCTGGTCATCCCCTGTACTGTGTCCGCAGTCTCTGGTCATCCCCTGTACTGTGTCCGCAGTCTCTGGTCATCCCCTGTACTGTGTCCGCAGTCTCTGGTCATCCCCTGTACTGTGTCCGCAGTCTCTGGTCATCCCCTGTACTGTGTCCGCAGTCTCTGGTCATCCCCTGTACTGTGTCAGCAGTCTCTGGTCATCCCCTGTACTGTGTCAGCAGTCTCTAGTCATCCCCTGTACTGTGTCCGCAGTCTCTGGTCATCCCCTGTACTGTGTCCGCAGTCTCTGGTCATCCCCTGTACTGTTTCAGCAGTCTCTGGTCATCCCCTGTACTGTCCGCAGTCTCTGGTCATCCCCTGTACTGTGTCCGCAGTCTCTGGTCATCCCCTGTACTGTGTCCGCAGTCTCTGGTCATCCCCTGTACTGTGTCTGCAGTTTCTGGTCATCCCCTGTACTGTGTCTGCAGTCTCTGGTCATCCCCTGTACTGTGTCCGCAGTCTCTGGTCATCTCCTGTACTGTGTCCGCAGTCTCCGGTCATCTCCTGTACCGTGTCCGCAGTCTCCGGTCATCTCCTGTACCGTGTCCGCAGTCTCCGGTCATCTCCTGTACCGTGTCCGCAGTCTCCGGTCATCCCCTGTACCGTGTCCGCAGTCTCCGGTCATCCCCTGTACCGTGTCTGCAGTCCATTGGTTCAGAATAATTTTTTTCTTTTCTCCTATAAAACCTAGGTGCGTCTTATGGAGCGAAAAATATGGTATATATACCCAAATATGCCAGTGAGGTCAGGATAACCCCGCCCCCCCGCACATATGATGACCCAATCAAATCCACTTCAGGCAAAGTAAATAAATACATTTTTAACCGCCTCCCACCCGCCATATAGTCCAATGACGGGTGCAAGGCGGTTCTCTCATTCTGGGAGGACGTCATATGATGTCCTCCCATTCTCATTGCGCAGTGCGGCAATCGGCGGTGCGCTGTGTCCCTCGGACACAGCGGATCACCGATCACGGAAAGAGCCGAAGATGTCGGCTCGGCCATGTGATCAGCTGTGTCCAATCACAGCTGATCGCATGTAAACAGGGAAATGCCGGTTATCGGCATTTCTCTTCTCACGAGCTGTCACACAACTGACAGAGGAGAGGAGAGCCGGTAATCGGCATTCCTTGGAGGGGACATCTACACTGATCATCAGGGCACTGCTGATGAGTGTGCCCTGATGATCTGTGTAGCCCCAGCAGTGCCACCTGTCAGTGTCCATCAGTGCATACCAGTGCACATCAATGCCACATATCAGTGCCCATCTGACTTGCCTTTCAGTGTCACCCATCAGTGCCAGTCAGTGCCGCCTCTCAATGACAATCAGTGCCGCCTATCAGTGCCAGTCAGTGCAGCCTATCAGTGCCATATATGAGTGCTGCCTTTCAGTGCCCATCAGTGATGCCTGTCAATGCCCATCAGTGATGCCTGTCAATGCCCATCAGTGCCACCTATCAGTGCTCATCAGTGCAGCCTCATTAGCGCACATCAGTGAAGGAAAAAAATCACTTATTTACAAAATTTTATATCAAAAATTAAGAAAAAAAACGGGGGTTTTTGTTTCTAAAATTTTCAGTGGTTTATGGTTTAAGAAAAAATATTAAAAACCCCGAGGTGATTAAATACTCCCAAAATAAAGCTGTCACAAAAAAAAAAATGATAAAAATGTCATATGTGTACAGCGTTGCATGACCGCGCAATTGTTAAAGTGCGACAGCGCTGAAAGCTGAAAATTGGCCTGGGCAGGATGGGGGTAGACGCGCCCGGTAGGCGAGGTAAAATACGCACCAATATTATATACGGGTAATCAATAATTAATAAATATAATATAAATAGGAAATGGCACATAAATAAATGAACCGTACTCACATATAGTACCAGGACTGGGATAGATCAATAAACTCACACAATGGGGCACCTTCCCAACATAACAACCATCAGCTGTATAAAGAACACAACATAATGACGTCATTGATTAATATTATTACTAAATAATAAAAACATAAATAAATAAACGCCCCGCGGATGTAAGAAGCAGCCGGGAGTTGGTCCTGCTCGCCAGGATGGTTTCATAGGACCGTGACCAGGGAAACATTAGGCGTATCAGTGCGCATGCGCACTACGCCGCGCAGATTATCTGCGTGCGCTCCGGAGAGCCGTGCCACCAGACACACGCCCAGGAAGCGCGTCAGAGTGAGGGCGGAAGTGAGAAGCCGGCTCCCTATGTAGTGCTGGAACCGCACTCCTACTAACGCATGCTATAACAAATGTTAAAAACGTGGAAAAATGAACAGAGAATGTACTTAGATGTGAATACAGAGCCACAGAACTAATGTAACCTTGGAATGAATCGAATCAGCCTTAATTAACTCCTTATTCTCCTTCTCCATGGAATCATTATTGTCCTGCTGATTGTTTTGTGTTCATTTCTATTTTATAAACCGTTCATTTTTGTTTTGGTTTGCTTTGTTTGTAAATATTTCGACACCTTTTACATATATTTACATGTTTCACCTTTAACCGCTTCCCGTCCGCTCTATAGCAAAAATACTGCTACAGGGCGACACGGGTGCGCAAAATCGTGTCTATATACGTGATTTTGCATATCCGGGTAGAGAGCGCACGAGGCGCGCGGGCGCCCTACCTGCGCTGCCATTCGCGGCTGCAACTGTTGGTCACCGGACCCCGGCCGGTATATACTTTCTGGCGCCTGGTGATTTCTGATGATCACCGTCAGGGAGGAGGACTGTTTTGTTTACTAACAGTCCTCCTCCCTGTCAGCTCGGGAACACTGTACAGCACAGCCATCCTTAGCAGTGAGTACAGTGAAGCACACACACACCCCCCCGCCCCCTAGTAAAACACTACCAGCCAAGGGCGGACTGACCATTCAGAAACTCGGGCACTGCCAGAGGGCCCGGGGTCAGTAGGGGGCCCCATGAGATGCCCCTGGTACTTTTTTCATAGGCTTTTTTGAGTTTGGGCAAGGACACAGGGGCCCCATGATCCCCTATTGCCCGGGGGCCCCATGAGTTGTCAGTCTGCCCCAGCTCCCAGCACACAGTTAACCCTTTCATCGCCCCTCACATTAACCCCTTCCTGCGCAGTGTCATTAGTACAGTGTCAGAGCTTTTTTTTTTTTTTGCTAGCACTGAACACTGTATTGGTGTCACTGGGGATGTCAGTGACACCAAGTCAGTCCCCCCCACAGTCTCACTATAATGTCCGCCGCAGTCCCACTATAAGTCACCAATCGCCGCCATTACTAGTAAAATGAAAACAAATAATACCAGTATATATACCACCATCTGGAAATGCTAATCACGTAAACTGATTAATTTACACGTATTGGGATTTTTTTTTTTTTTGTAGCAAAGATATGTAGCAGAATACATTTTGGCCGGAATGTATGAAGAAATTTAATATTTTAAATTGTTTTACTGGACATATTTAAGAGCAAAAAGTCAAAAATATAGTTTTTTTCTCAAAATTGTTGGTCTATTTTTTTGTAGCGCAAAAAGTAAAAAACACAGGCGATCAAATAGGGGCACTGAAGGAAAGCTCAATTCCTGGGGAAAAAAAAAAGGACGTAAATTTCATTTGGGTGCAGCGTTGCATGACCCGCGCAATTGTTAGTTAAAGTAACGCAGCGCCGTAATGCAAAAAATGGCCTAATCAGGAAGGGGGGGGGGAATCCTCAGGAGGGCGAGTGTTTAAAAATGCAAAACTGAAAAAAATAAATGTACTTCTTTTGTAAATAGCTTTTCAATGCTTTGTACCAGAATAATAATTTTAATGTCATTTTAAAAAGGACAAATTACAAAATAAAATGCAAACTTTCTATATGCAGTAACACTATTTTTAAACCAACGGTGCTAAAAAAAAAAAAAGTGTTTATTTTTTTATAATTTTGTTACATTTGTCTAAGGGATGTGAAAAAAATGTCATTGTTGCAAGACAATATTCATAAAAAAAAGCCTTGCTAGTGCTTAAAAAAAAATCCTCATATATACATATGGAGCTTGCTTTCTGCACTGGTGTGCAGTCATGTAGGAACAGGAAGGGGCCATCCCCAAACTCTTTCCACAAAGTTGGGAGCATGAAATTGTCCAAAATGTCGCCTTAAGAGTTCTTTTCACTGGAACTAGGGGGCCAAGCCAAACCCCTGAAAAACAACCCCACACCATAATCCCCCTCCACCCAACTGTACACTTGGCACAGTGTAGTCAGGCAAGTACCGTTATCCTGGCCACCGCCAAACCCAGACACGTTCATCAGATTGCCAGAGAGAGAAGCATGATTGGTTACTCCAGAGGACACGTCTCTACTGCTCTAGAGTCAAGTGGCCACGTGCTTTACACCACGGCATCCGACGCTTTGCATTGCACTTGGTCATGTAAGGCTTGGATGCAGCTGCTCGGCCATGGAAACCCATTCCATGAAGCTCTCTACACATTCCTATTCCTCCCACTGATACCAATGATGGGGCACTATTCCTCCCACTGATACCAATGATGGGGCACTATTCCTCCCACTGACACCAATGATGGGGCACTATTCCTCCACACTGACACCAATGATGGGGCACTATTCCTCCCACTGATACCAATGATGGGGCACTATTCCTCCCACTGACACCAATGATGGGGCACTATTCCCCCCACTGATACCAACGATGGGGCACTATTCATCCCACAGACACCAATGATGGGGCACTATTCCTCCCACTGACACCAATAATGGGGCACTATTCATCCCACAGACACCAATGATGGGGCACTATTCATCCCACAGACACCAATAATGGGGCACTATTCATCCCACACAGACACCAATGATGGGGCACTATTCCTCCCACGGACACCAATGATGGGGCACTATTCCTCCCACTGATACCAATGATGGGGCACTATTCATCCCACAGACACCAATGATGGGGCTCTGTTCCTCCCCGATACCAATGATAGGGCACTATTCCTCCCACTGACACCAATAATGGGGTACTATTCATCCCACAGACACCAATGATGGGGCTCTGTTCCTACAACTAATACCAATGAGTGGACACTATTTCCCACCTTCCACTGACTACGAGCACTATGTCATTTTTTTTTAACTCCTACATGACGCTGGGACAATTTCTACACCCCCACTGGCCACTCCGGCCCTCCTAAAGTCTGCAGGACAGTAAACCGATGCTTTGTTTAGTAAGTTTGGAGACCCCCTGATCTAGATAATAAAGGACCTCCTTCAAAGTGTCTGACTGTAGAGCTTTCTGTGCATCCTTCATCAGCCAATCACGCTTTGCCTTTCCTGTTGCTATTGTGGGTCAAACAGTGTAAAGGACGCACTGAACACGGAGAGGTTTAGTAATGATAGAGATCTATGTGTAGCCGGGGGCTGGATAAGGGACCTTTGAAGAAAAGCAACACCAAGATGCAGTTCGTAAGGTTGTTCTTATGAGGCAAGAAGTCCTGGCAAATCTGTTTGCTGTGTCCCCATTGACTCTGTGGGGTTGAGTTACTAAATCTGGAGAGTGCAAAATCTGGAGCAGCTGTGTATGGCAGCCAATCAGCTTCTAACTTCAGCTTGTTCAATTAAGCTTTGACAATAAATCCTGAAAGCTGATTGGTTTCTATGCAGAGCTGCACCAGATTTTGCACTCTCCTGTTTTAGTAAATCAACCCATTTATTTCCTTTACTGATTGGACAACATTGGACTTAGAGGAAGAGATACTGTTAAGTAAAGGATTGTGGGAGGTGTAGTTTCATAGTGTATAGGTGGAATTACTCCACAGCTGAGGGAAAACTATAGTTTCCAGGGAGATATACAGCCTAGGAGGAGGAGGGAAGGAGCCTCAGCACACTGCTGCGGAAGGTTGAAGGCACTTGGCACTAGACTGGAGAAGGAAGCAGATGCCCAGGCTAGAGTACTGAGCTCTCCGATCACTCACCCTCCAGCACAGCCTAACCAGCAGCATTCCAGCCATACAGAGCGGGTTTGCCATTGTCCTTTCTGCTTCTCTCAGCATTACAGAGCTGGATCACTTGTCTCCTTTCTGCATCTCCAGCATTACAGAGCTGGATCACCTGTCTCCTTTCTGCATCTCATGCAATACAAAGCAGGTTCACTGGATGTAAAGGCATCGGCTCATGAGGGTCCCCTTTGTCTCCGGCATTTATGGCTGAGACACAGTATTAGTGAGAGGGTTTTCAACCTATTGCATACACTGTACAACAGAAATCAAATCTGTAGACCCATCACATCCTTACCCTCCTACTTCCTAGAAATGATCCAGTCTTTTTAGCCTACTGCTTGCATTACCATATTATCCATCCAGGATTGCTTCATCAACCCAGAAATATGTATACTTCTCCCTGAACTTGTTGCACTTCTACCACTGTTTCAGCTTGTTTGCAGATTATG